TGGGCCTGTAAATGAGATTCACGTCATCAAATAAAGACAACGAAATGATATATGGCCAATGGGCCTGTAAATGAGCTTCGCATCATCAAATAAAGATGACGAGGCGATATATGGCCGATGTAAATGAGTTTCATGTCATCAAATAAAGATGACGTAGTGATATATGGCCGATGGGCCTGTAAATGAGCTTCACGTCCTCAAATAAAGACGACGAAGCAATATATGGCCGATGGGCCTGCAATAACATGGGGACGAGGTGCTATGAAGCCCGTCATACAGTGGAGATGAGGTGCTGGAGAGCCTGTCATAATGTGGAGACGAGGCGCTGAGGAGTCTATCATAAAGTGAGGACAAGGTGATGATAAGCCGATCGCCATATAAAGGCAACGGTCACCATCCCGGAAGGGAATGGCGAGCCCAGTCGCTACAACAAGACTTCGACACTGAGGAGCCGGTCTTGAGATAGACATGATGGCGTTGAGGAGATCGTTCATGATATGATGACAAGGCGATGAGGAGCCGATCGTCATATGAAGGTGGCAATCGCTTATCCGGAAAGGGAATAACGAGCCGGTTGCCAAATCAAGACATACGTCGCTGAGGAGTCGGGCTTGAAATAGATAATCACGCCGAGGCCGAGGGGGCCGAATGTGGTATGAGGACAGCGATCATGAAGGAGCCGGTTCGAAACATGATAGCGAGGGCGATGATGAACCGGTCGTCATATAAAGGCGACGGTCACCATCCGGAAACGGATGGCGAGCCCAATCGCTAGCTAAAGACATTCGACGCCAAGGGGCCAGTCTTGAGATGAATAGTCACATCGAGGTCGAGGGGCCAAACGTGTTGTGCGGACGGCGATGATGAGAAGCCAATCCCATAGGTGTACAAGTGTGCTTACATATGGTCTTTGTAGTGGATGGGATCTCGACGAAAGTATGAGGACAAGGCGTGGGACACCTATCTGTATATGGGGATGACGTCGCTGATGAGCCAGCCCGAATATGAGGACGAGGTGGTGGACGCTTGTCTGAATATGTGGACGACGACGCTAAGGAGCCGGTCCGGAATATGATGACGAGGCAATAATGAGCCGTTCTTCGTATTTATAAAGTGAATACGCCTCTCAATGAAAACACCAAATGATAGAGTATAGATCTAGAGAGAAGGGAGTGCTAGAGAGATAAAGTGATATGCATAAATGATTTTCAACCCTTTACACGGCTCCCATAGGGAGTATTTTTAAGAGAAAAGTGGTATGGGCTTCCAAGCTTGGGCCTGGCAGACCCAGTTACAATAAAAGGCCAATAAATGGCTAATAAATGGTATTTAATGTATTTTATTGAGTATACATGAATAAATAGTGTACAATGATGAAAATGCTATCTATTGAGTGTACATGGACCGCTGTCTGGGTCCAATAGTTATGAGACAGGGGGGGTCCGGGTTCATATACTCTATCAATATTGAAAAATGAGTTATGTATATATTATTAACCAATAATAATAACTTTTATATGTATATATAGGGTGCGGTTCCGGTGAGAAGACTCCTTAACGTGAGAAGTGAGAACGCTCCAAAACGATGCACTTTACCGTTCACGAAAATGCACATTTATAATTAAAGTAATGCAAAATTCTAATGTGCACATTTACATTTACACTTTTGCACAGTTGAAATGCACATTTTCCAAATTTTCATATGCACTTCTACGTTTTGCATGATGCACGACATCGAAATCCAACGCTCCAGAATCATTCTCATTTCTCTTCTAAGATGGTGTTCTCATATGATCCTTACTCTCTCTCTCTCTCTCTCTATATATATATATATATATATATATATATATATATGAGTGTGAGAGAGAGAGAGTTATAGTGAGAACTACTTTTAAAATCAGGACCTATATAGTTCCTTTGGAATCCTTGAGCTAATTTCTTTGTTTACATTAATGGAAGACACCTCTTCAAATCTCTTTTTCTCCAAAAAAAATCATAAAAAAATTTACATGAGTGAATTTTCACAATGACATCATTAAAGGGGATGGGATGTTGATAATAGTTTTCTTGAAGTATTAATTAAATAATTTCTTGAAACCTTTTTGGGGACTCCTTATTAGGCACCGGGGTATGAAGTAGGAGGTTCATATGGTGATACTTTCGAGGGTAAGATGGTGGTTCTCCCTTTTAGGGAGAGTGATTCATGTTTTCTCTTTTCTCTTCTTAATTATTCAAAATAGAAATTGACATCACATCTACAATAAAGTTTGTCTCATAGGTGTTTGGGAAATTCCCAGCCCTCTAAAAATTTTTTCGCTTAGCAAGTTGATAAATTGATACCTCGAAGCTCTGAATGGAGCTCCTTGTATACTGCTCAATGTTGCCCGCTCTAACCGCTCTTTGATTTAGCCTCTCATTATGATCTTCAACTAGAATGTCAAGATTTACTAATTGAGAGTGAAAGTTTCAGATGAATGCTTCAATCTGATTGTGATTCTTCTCCTTTTGAGTCTTCATGCTAGCAACATTTGTTTAAAAGGATTTTCATATTCTATTTAAACATGATAATAGTATTATTTTAGAATTTCAAAATATTTTCACTCTTCCATTTTTTTTCAAAATATAATGGAAAAGAAAGGATAGAAATTTAGGGCGGAAGCGTGGAAGGCGACCCGAAATCTAGCGCAGCAGTATTTTAATTTCCGTGATTTTCATCTTCTAGGTTGAATTAGCGGAGACACGAAAATATAGCGAGAAAGAGAAAAAGAAGTGCAGGAGCCCACTGTTTTTGAGAGAAAGAAAACGTAAGGAAACATGCAACACGAAATGAACAAACCCCTAAACTAGAAAGATATTTTTTGCCTCCCCCACCCTCCAAAAGATAGCACCTTTAGGGTTTTTTGCCTCTCCCTTCTCATGCCATCTCGCCGTATCAGTTTTGCGTACCCATGTGTATGCAGTTATTTGTCTGCAATGATTCATCCTGCTGTTTTTTTCTCTGTTTATTACCTATATTTATTTCCTGAGTTTTAACTTTTGAGCGTAATTTGAGCATTTTTATGTGCACGGGGTTTGAATACGGTTGACTTATGTTGATTTCTGGATCTGCTTTTTTTTTGTGATTTTGAATGTTTATCTTTCAGGGGGTTTCCGTCTCATGCAAAGCTTTGATTTGGTTTTCTGTCTGATGCTGACGAAAATTGTGGGAATTTCATTGTATATTTGTCCACAAGAAACGAGAATATCGGTTTGAATCCAGGAGTTTTGAACAAGACGCCTGCAGTTCGTTTTGAATTTGAGGAATTCGAGGAGAGAAAGAGGGGATAAATCTTTTCTAAATTTGAATTTGTTTAGGTTTCTGAGTATGACTACATCCTGGGCTGATTCTGTTTCCGCGGCAGAAAACGCCACCCCTGCTCCATCCAAGGGAACCTATGTTCCACCACACCTGAGAAACAGGCCGCCGCCTTCATCAGAACCTACTAAACCTGCCACAGCTTCCTATTCCAATCCTGGTGCAACAGGGTATGAGCGAGCTCATTATGGGGCGCCCGGCGGTGGTAGTCGTTGGAATGGTCCTAGAAATGAGTCACGCTTCGGCTATGGTGGGGGGGGTGGGGGTGGTTGGAATGCGAGAACTGGTGGTTGGGATCGTGCTGGTCAACGGGAGTCAAACCCATTCGGAGATGATGTGGATCAACCTTTTGATGAACAAGAGAGTTCGAGCATTAATTTCGATGCATACGAAGATATTCCTGTTGAGACGAGTGGGGACCATGTGCCTCCTCCGGTGAATACGTTTGCAGAAATTGATTTAGGGGAAGCTGTAAACAGTAACATTAGGAGGTGTAAGTATGTGAAGCCTACGCCTGTTCAACGTCATGCTATCCCAATTGTACTCTCCGGAAGGGACTTGATGGCATGTGCTCAGACCGGTTCAGGAAAAACGGCTGCTTTTTGCTTCCCAATCATTAGTGGAATCATGAGGGGTCAGTTTTTAAGGCCACCAAGGCCACGCATGGCGTTACCTCTTGCTCTTATTCTTTCTCCAACCAGGGAGCTCTCCTGCCAAGTGCGTTTCTGGTATTTTATGTTGGAAACTGGATGTCACAGCAAGAGATGACATTTTCTTAATTTTTAATTCGTAGATTCATGAAGAAGCCAGGAAATTTTCATACCAAACTGGAGTCAGGGTGGTTGTTGCATATGGTGGCGCACCCATAGGCCAACAGGTGCTATTTCTCCCCTTTTAACACTGCCTTTTAAGCTCCCTTTTGGTTGCAACTTTCAGCTTATTGCGCTTATGTAAATAGCTTTTGACTTACATTTGCATAATACGTTTTTACCAAATCCATCCATTGTAGTGAAAAAATCCGTACCAAATGGGCTCTTTATCACTGTTGTATATTCCTAACTCTGATTAATCTGCGACTAGGCCCCAGTTTGCCCCTTAGCTTGCCTTTATGGCTTTTCACATTGTTTGTTTTAAAGCAGGCGTGAATAACTTAATTTGTTGCTTAGACAGTCAATTGTGGAACTTCCAGGTTATCCTTTAGGGTCTGGTCGGAACAAGAAAAATGCTAGGGAAAGAATACCGGGAGGAAAAATGGAAAATAAAAAGGTCATTTGGAAGGAAACAAAGCTTGGGGCAAACAGAAATCTGTTTCAAACTTTTTAAATCATTTTAGACATTTTTTTCCTTACTATTTTAATAGTTCTATAATATAAATATTCCTCTGTTTTTATTTAATTTCTCTACATTTCTCTTTCGGTAGTTGTTTTTTTCTTTCTCAAGTTCCTAATTTGGCAAGTCTTACACGTACTTTTACCTTTATTCACTTATTAAATAACCCTCGCATTTTCATCTTCTCTTCCTTACTTTTCCTACTTTTTATACCTTTCACCATCTCTCACTACTATTCACTATTTCGACCATTTTATCTTAAAATCCATGATTTTTTATTATCTTAAAATCCGTGAAAACCCTATGTGAACAATCAAATGAAAACAGAGGGAGTATTAGGATATGTTATGTAATATAATAAAAATTGCTTTTTCCTCAATGTAAAGTTAAGTATTCTGAATTTTAATACCCCTTCCACAAAATAAACTTCATTCTTTACCTTTTTGACCATCCCAAAATAAACGTTCACTTTTCTTTTAATGAAAGGATTCTGTGGTTCATATCATTTTTACTCCAATAGACAACTTTGAATCACACGTTTCAATTTAATCCCTGTGACAAGTCAAAACAGGAGATAATAATGGGACTGTGGGAGTAGCCGAGTAGTATTTAGTTGTAGCTATTTAAAATTAAGTCTTCATCGCCTATGCAATGATAGCTAACAACATAACATTGAGCCACATATTAAAGTATTATCGCTCAAAACGGTTCAAGTTATATCATTCTAGTTCCTGATTATGTAAATTGGCAGCTGCGGGAACTGGAGAGGGGCGTGGATATACTTGTAGCAACCCCTGGTAGATTAGTGGACTTGCTGGAGAGGGCAAGAGTGTCGTTAGAGAATGATCAGGTACCTGGCTTTAGATGAAGCAGATCGGATGCTGGACATGGTTTTTGAACCCCAAATAAGGAAAATTGTGCAAGAGGCTGATATGCCCCCACCTGGTGTAAGGCAGACAATGCTCTTCAGTGCTACCTTCCCGAAAGAGATTCAGGTTTTTTTAATGCTTTTATTTTCTCCTAGTACCCTCCATCGAGGGGGAATATTGGCTTGGACATATGTTCTCAAATTTGATGATTGCCCCTTCGTTATGCATGCATGTACATATCATCATCATTATGGCTTCAATATTTTAAAGATAAATTGTCAAATAGATCCTCCTACTATCTTTAAATAGCAATGAGACCCCCATACTCATAAAGCACTTAATCAAACACACTACCTCATTAAAAAGTACCAATTGGTCAGTTTCGCAGGTTCATTAAGGAGTAAGGAGTTACTTCACTTACTTGTCGCACCTTTGTCACACCACCCCCACATGACTGCAACCATATATCATTTTAAGCCTTGCCAAATCATTATTTATTTATTTTATTAATTTATTTTTTTTATTCCACTTTCTTCATCTCCTTTTTCAGTATCATTAATTCAAGTTGTCAGCTGTTTGGTGGCGACTATTTTCCAAGAGGCGAGCATACACTGTACACTCGGTTGTGCAGTACTCACAATACAATTGGATATTTTATGTTATGCTTAATGCGTATAACGTTTAAAAGAATTGAGTATTAGTATTAAATCACTGTATTGGTAGCGCAATTGAGTAATAGAAGCATGCAATTGAGTATCATGATCTACACATAATATATATGCTACAGATCAACTTATTCCTTTAACTATATTAGCATCGTATTATCATCAAAATATTTATTGTGCTAATTTTATACTATCATAATTTAATACCAACACTCATTGAAACGGTATACTCATTTCTTTTAACATAAAATAACCGGCTGTACTGTGTGCACTGAACAGCCGCTGTACCGTATAATTTGCCCTATTTTCCAGTGGCACCGTATATGAAAATATTTATGTGCCGCACTCAAAGTAGTCGAAATCGCGAGGCGCACTCAAAGCGCTAGGGCACTCCGGCTGAGGCGCAGGGCGCAAAAAAGGCGCTAGCCTGACTCATGTCAGGCGCAATGCTTAGAAAATAGTACAAATACTGTACTACAATTATCAAACATGATGTATATAACATCATATTGAACCAAATGCATTAAAAACTCGTGTATCTCAAAAGCAAAGTCATAATTCGCCAAAATAGTCACGGTCCACCAAAATAAAGTATGAATTTGCATCATTTTTATCAGCCAAGTAATTGTGTTTCCAAGTTGGGTCTTTTTTGTTGACATGGCAGCTTCAGGACCTGCGACTTAAGGTCCATCTTCCATGTCCTATGAAAGCACAATGCAAAAATTATATGTAGTTTATGAATCTATTAAATGATTTAAATCCTTTAAAGAAATGATTTAGATTATATGAAGTGTAAATGTAATGAAATATGAAAATATTTCATTAAATCCTTTAATGAAAATATGAAATAATAATAAGAAGAAGAAATAGAGTTATACATGGATAGACTTGTAGTATACTTATATATGTTTGAGTAATATAGACTTATAGAGTATATGAAAGAAGACGTAGATGCTGAAAAAAGAAAGAAGAAAGAAAATGGGAAGATGATGAAGACGAAGACTTACTGTGGTTGAGCATTAAGTGCTGCTAGCTTCTTTGGGTGATCGTTGAGTGCTGCTTTCGGAGCTGAGAGGTAGTGTGAGTAGACCAGAGATCAGGAGAAATGAAGTCCCGATATAACACTTATTGTGACTTATAAGGTCTAACGTAGGTTTAAGTTGTTTTGATCATTTATAATGATTTAAAAATATGCGCTTATTATTAAAAATAGGCGGACATCCCTTTCCCACCTTAGGCGGTTAAAGCGATCGCTATTTTTCGCATCATCGCTTCGGCGCTTCATGCGCAACAGATGCGCCTGGCAGCCTTACAGGCGCTAAGGGTCATCTGCGTCTCACCTGGTGCACTTAAGTGCCTAGGCGCTCGCTTTTGACTACACTAGGCGGCACCCAATATCCACGTTAGCTCCTTCGTCAGCCTGCTGATCAGATCTGGGTTGCTACTTGAAGTTCGCACAGTAACTCTGGGCATCGTCATTGGTTGACCCTTGCGCTGGTCTGATCTATGAACATTTCATTTTCATTTTCATTTACCCCAGTGCCGCAAAGGCTCCCACCTACGGTGGGGTAAGGGGGGTCGGATATACGCAGTCTTACCCCTGTACTAAAGCACAGAGAGATTGTTTCCGGATGACCCATAGTGAAAATCGTGTCCGAAATTGCATGGACTGACTGCTGCTTCATAACAAAGAAGCGCAGACAGTTTAGTGAACCGTTTTGCTTTATTCCATCATATTCTCAAGCCAAAAAATAATGAATCTTTGGCTCCATTGCAAATGATGGAGCTCTGATCTATGAACAAAGAAGAAAAAGACTAGAAAATCAAAATAGAAAAAAAGGCCTGACCTATGAAGAGAAGACCAGGAAAAAAATGTTCTGATCTATGAATGAAGAGGAGGAAGACCATGGAAAAGAAGAAGAGTATCTTAGTATCATAAAATATAAGAAGGGATAGAATTGAAGGCCACATGTGTGGGGAAACCTGAAAACCTGCTGTGACTACCTAAATCCACAAATTTGGTGTTTTTTCATGAGATTCATTGGATGCTTTTTTGGGGGTATGGGAGCCTAATTGCCAATTTGATGATAGGAGCTAGGACGGTCTATTTGACAGTTCCCTCTATTTGAAACCCTAACTACTTTTAGACTGGTGACATGAAATTTGTCGTGTCAATTACTACCAATGCACAACTTTTTAATTTGATAAGATATAATTTCATAGATTATGAATCATATTTATCTTTTTTCATTTTTTTGCTTTTGCTTAAACGATCACATGTAACTTGCATGCGGCCCTTTTTACCATTCTTTAGCAAGTTGCATGATAGAATATATTCATTTGATGAAATTCAATTCATTTTTGGGTTAGCAGGAGTATTTTTTTAATAATTAGTTAACACTATTAACTCATGAAATAAAGCTTATTTGCACAGTTTATGCTTATTTGCATGAGTTTTCTTGTTTTTGGGATGTTGACCCTTTTTTTAACGCAGAGATTGGCAGTAGATTTTCTATCAGATTACATCTTTTTGGCTGTTGGGAGGGTTGGATCAAGTACTGATCTGATTGTGCAAAGAGTTGAGTATGTTCAAGAAACTGACAAGAGAAGCCATTTAATGGATCTCCTCCTTGCACAAATGGCAGATGGCAAGGTAATGATTTAATACATAAATTTATTTAAATATGTACGCATAAAAACACACGGATTCCCTCTATCCACTTTTACTTGCTCTACTAGTCTACTTTCCAGGTTTGACAACTTTTCATACCTTTTCATCTCTAAAAGATATAAATACTAAGCTACCCTTTCTTTTCATTTCCATTTCCAACTTTTTCTACTTTTGATCTCCTCTCTCCTATGCGTTCAACACTAAATACTACTACCTCCATCCCACTAAGATTGGGACATGAGAAGGTGACACGGTTATTAAGAAAAGTGAGTTTGTGTGGTTGATATTAAATTGATAAAGTAAGAATAAAGTAAGAATGATTTAGAGCCACACAAACTTTACCAAATTTGGTATGAGACAATCTTAGTGGGACTTCCCGAAAAGGTAAAATGAGACAATCTTAGCGGGACGGAGGGAGTACTTCAGTTTTGCTCTTAGTTTACATGAAGAACCTACTAGAGCAAGGGAAAGGAGTGGTGTGTGTATGTACGTGTAAACACACATAAGGAGCAGCTCTAACTTTTAGTGGCAATTTTAATGTTAATATACCCCAAAATAAAGATATATTGTGCACGCTCGCGCGCGCTCTGCATATATGTATGTGCTCTTTTTGCATGTATGTGTCTAGTTTTTTTGTGCACACCACAATTACATGTACTCATACACACTTGCATGATTTATGGGTGGATAAGTAAGTGCATAGTGTGTATATTAACAACCCTGCCTATGCATAAGAATTAAGAAATCATTAATTTTGTTTAACATATGGTCGTTGTTGCTATTAATAATTGTGTTGCAAACTTCTAATTTGCAGCAATGTCTTACCCTTGTTTTTGTGGAGACAAAGAAAGGAGCCGATTCTCTAGAACATTGGCTTTCTATTAACGGTTTCCCTGCCACAGCTATACATGGCGATAGGACACAACAGGTATCGATTGCTTTATTACTCCCCTTATATAATACAAATTTCTTGGTGCTATCATTAACATCCGCTGTCACTCAATTGAATAAATAATTGCAGTTTTCATTTAACGGATTGATGTAACCTGCACTCCAATTTCTTAGTCTGTCATGGTCGAGTAATTCAATAGCAAAAGCTTATTTAGTTCTCATTTAATAAAAAATATGTACAAGCATTTACAAACGTATATTTATTCTTTCCATTTTACAGTTCAGAGTTTATCATAATAGTAAGAATATATACATCATCCTTAATACTCCGTCTGTCTCATATTATGGGAGGACCTTGCAAATAGTTTCCATCTTTTGGTGAGTCCAACATGTGTAGGTAGTGTGTTTTTCTGTCAGTTTGGTTTTGAAAAACCCCAAGTTGAAAATCAAACCAAAAAGGAAAATTCTTGAAGTAGTGGTAAAAAACGTTTTGGAATTCCAAAATTGGAGTACGTACTGCCAATATTGGAAAATACTGTCATGTTTAAAGCAGGGTAATGCCAAAACATGGCAGTAACTACATGTATTTAGCGAATAAAAATGTAGTACTATTTTGGAATTCACATACGTTTTTGCTCCTATTCAGGACAATTTCTTGAACAAAAAAAACTGAAGTTGGTTTTGGTTGAGTTTTTGTTGTTTCTGAGCCAGTTTGTGGTGGTTAGTGATTTTCCTTGACATTAAACAAAAACTAAACCGCCTATGGGCTATGGTTGTATCAGTTTCAGCTGGTTTGTTTTTGGATGGTTTGAATCTGGCAGTTTTCTTGTTCATCCCTTTTTACTTGTTAGTGCGATTGGGTGCACATTACAGTCTAACACATTGAACCTGTAATTTACCTGTTTTGGGCTATAGTTAGTCTATGGGCTATGGTGCACATAGTCTTTGGGCTATGGCCTATGGGTTGTTTTATTTCATTTAGTTTTGAAGAATATTAAAGTGAAATTGTTATTACAATCTACTAAGCCAATGTTTGTTGTTCAGGAAAGAGAACAGGCTCTGAGAGCTTTCAAAAGTGGTAGGACGCCGATTCTGGTTGCAACTGATGTGGCGGCACGTGGTCTTGACATTCCTCATGTCGCGCATGTCGTCAATTTTGACCTCCCAAATGATATTGATGATTATGTCCACCGCATAGGAAGAACCGGGCGTGCTGGGAAAACCGGTTTGGCCACTGCTTTCTTCAATGAGGGAAATTCTTCCATTGCAAGGTCATTGTCTGATCTAATGCAAGAGGCTAATCAAGAAGTCCCTGCTTGGCTTTCCCGCTTTGCTGCCAGATCATCCTCACATGGTGGTAAGAACCGCAGGGGCAGTGGCGGCCGCTTTGGTGGCCGTGATTTTAGGAAAGAGACGTCTTACAGTAGGGGCAGTTCAGACTTTTATCCAGGCGGCAATATGGGTGGTGGTTATGGCGCGTTTGGCGGCGGGTATAATAGTGCCTCATATGGTGCTGGTGTGGCTAGTGCTTGGGATTAACAAATTCAAATTTGTCTGATTTAGCAACCCGAGTTTTAGGTACTGCTAGAATCCAGTTCCTCGATGTGGGTCCGGCAGGGAGGGAACCTCCGTGGTGGGGTACGCCAGTAGTATATAATTAGATATTTGTGGTGCTTTTATTTTATTTTTCTTTATTTTGTCAGGTTGAAGATATCTTGGCTTTGTACTCTGAAGTTTTGTTGGATGGAGGTGTGAGGGAGGGTGCTTCTGTGTAAATGTTGGCAGGCTAGAATGAATAAATCTGCTAACTCCATTCTTATGTAATACTTCGTATTTGCTTCTTGACTTAATAATCCAATTTCAACTTTTAACATTTGGTTAAATCTACCAAAGATGAATAGCCCCCCCCCCCCCCCCCCCCTCCCTTTTCATTCTGTCGTCATTCATGGCCTTATTTGATCAATATTACTGAAATAAATAAAAAAAAGGCGAAAATTTGATTTCTTTTAAAATTTTCAAAAAATGTGACTAACTATTTGATAGAGTATATGGACGGATGAACTTGGACCCATGACCCACATACTCTTAGACATGCGGATGACCCAAGTCGACACCAGGGACATAAGGTCCATCTAGACTCTAGAGTGCTCAGTCCGGAATGAGGGGCGGACTTTCTCTCCGTAAGTCATCACCTCAGCACACACACCTCGAAGGAGCACACCTTGGCAAAGTTGGCAAGGCTCGCTTGGACATCTTCACCAATAGGGCCGAGGTGCGACCAAGCACCTCGGACCCATCACTAGCAAATGTCCTCATAACACCTTTAGTGGGTTAGAATGCATGTAAACAACCCATTAGTGACCCATTATTGTAATTGGGTCTCTCAGGCCCAAGACCTGGGAGCTCAACCCACATTTCCCCTATAAATTCTCCCTTGAGGTATAGTTGTAGGAGGTTCACAATTCATTTATTGCAAGTTTTTCTCTCTCTATTATCGCCTCTCCCTTCTCTTTAAGCTATACCATTAGCGGTTTGTCAGAAAGCTATCATTTGGTGCTCTCATTGATAGAAAGAACGATCAAGTTAGTACATCTCGTCGCTACCAGACGCGAACTGACACTTTAACAAGATGGGAAGGACTAGATCGAAAACCATCTACATCACGAAAGCGTTGCAGCATGAGAAATCTGGGAGCGACATTACTCAAGCGAACGCCGAGGAGTTCTAGGAAACCATTGACCCTGAAGCCGACCTCCGCAGTCAGATCAACGCCAATCAGCCTGACGCTCTGACCTTTCTTGATGGCAAAGTGGCAAACGCAAGGATTAATAGAATATATTTTAGGAATATTTGTTTCCTAAAATATATCTAGCAATATTTTTGACTCTCTCATTATATATAGGAGTTAGGCCATGAATATTACTAATTAAAATGATTTAGACAAATATAAGACCTCTTTTAATATTTCCCAAAAAAGAGACCTCACGGTTGTATTATTTAAAAAATGAGATGGAAATGCCACACATACCCCTGCAGTCATGCGAGTCAATCCGCATCAAACTAAATACGGAGTACGTATGTATCATTCCAGGGCCCCCCGATTCATTTCCCACTTCTAAAGATGCTAGCAAGAAGGCCAAAAAAGGGATTTGGCTTTTACACACCCAATTTACAATTATCTGGTTATGTTTTCATATGAGTATTTACCACACTCGACCCATTACACTTATCTTTTCAACCAGTTACAGTTACAAAAATTCAGACCAAAAATCCAACAGTGACCAAAAATCCAATAGTGACCAAAAATCCTGTAACCAAAAACACACAGTGACCTGACCCATCAATAACAAAAAACACACAGTGACCCGACCCATTAGTTACAGTTATCCGATTCGCCAGTTACAAATATCACAGTTACCTGACTCGACCAGTTACAGTTACCGACCCGTCCATTTACAGTTACCCCAATCTGTCCAGTTACAGTTACCCGACCCGTCCAGTTACAGTTACCCGACCCGTCCGATTACAGTTACCCGACCCGTCCGGTTACAGTTACCCGACCCGTCCAGTTACAGTTACCGACCCGTCCAGTCATAGTTACAGTTACATAACCCGTCCAGTTACAGTTACCAATCCGTCCACTTACAGTGACCAATCCGACCGTGACGAATATGTCCGTGACCAAACCGACCGTGACCAATCCGACCATGACCAATCCAATCGTGACCAAACCGATCGTGACCAATCTGACCGTGACCAATTCGACCGTGACCAATTCGATCATGACCAACCCAATTAATGAGCACGACCATTTCCACACCAACACCGACACGGCCTCCGCGACCACCGCCGCCCCCCGACCACCGTCTCTGTCCGTCGGGGATTGCCGCTGCCACACCGGTGGTGACAGTCGCTACCCCGGCGGGTGCCAGCCGCCGCCCATCACCAACCACCCCCCTCCGCAGCCCCAGCGGCCCCCTCCAACACCCTCCCCCAGTGCCCCTCCAGCACCCTCCCCCAACCTCCAGCAACCCACAGCCCCCCTCCACCACCCTCACCAGACCCCTGCAGCCCTCCAACACCTTCCCCCAGCCGCCCTTCAACCCCTGCACATAATGCAAAACCAAAGAAAGAGACCAAAGAAAAAGATGGCTAGAAGAAGAATCTGATCCAAATCTAGATCTAGATTTAGCTACGGCGACGAAGAAAAGCAACGACCAATCTCATTACACTTCGTCGTTACAAACAACCATGAGTAATCGTCATCTTCAGCCGACCGCAATAGTCTCCCATCAAGCGTCCGCATTTGGATCCTTTGTAAGTTACCAAACGTATCCAGGTACAGGATAAGAAGAATCGCCGCCGTGAGGAAAGATGATCCGCCGCCGTGAGGGCAGGTGAGGCGCCGCCGTGAGGGCAGGTGAGGCGCCGCCGTGGGGACAAATGAGGCGCCGCAGGGAGAAGAGATGAGGTTTGGTCGGAAGGGAGAATAGATTTGCAGCGAGCACGATGGAATGCAGCGGGTCGATTAGATTGGGAAGGTGGAGCAGGCGATCGGACGAATGGAGCAGGGATTCGTCCGTGTCTTGGTCCCGGTCTCTTTTTTGTGCAATTGAAAATTAGTCCTACTTTTGGAAAGTTAAAAGTCATGAGTCTTATTTTAGTCTTTATTTCTTATATATACACATGCCAGAACTTCTATTGGAGTACCTTTCCCATCATTCTCACATGGTATCACGAGCCTAAAAACTCTCTCTCTCTCTCTCTCTCTCTCTCTCTCTCTCTCTCTCTCTCTCTCTCTCTCTCTCTCTCTCTCTCTCTCTCTCTCTCTCTCTCTCTCTCTCTCTCTCTCTCTCTCTCTCTCTCTCTCTCTCTCTCTCTCTCTCTCTCTCTCCTCTCTCTCTCTCTCTCTCTCTCTCTCTCTCTCTCTCTCTCTCTCTCCCGCTGCATCAAGTCGCCGCCATGTCTCAAGAAGTTCCTTCCACGGTGCCGCTGACTTGCACCTCCATCACGCCACCGATGACCTCTACCATGTCGGCCGTTGCTTTCAGCACTGCATCCGAGACCTCCTCAATAGTTATCCATTTCGTTTCTCAGGATCAGTCACAGCCCCAAATCTCTTCTACAGTCGGACGAGTCACCATGCCGTTGCAGCTCTCTAACCACATGGCATCTTCTTCCTTCTCGCCATATACTGCTGCCAGTCATACTCGCTCTTCAGCAACTTGCCGCCTCAATTCCCGTGGCAACCGGTCAGCTCTCTAGTTCCACCGGCAAGTCTTCCTCCACAGCCACCGTCGCCGTCCAACTTTTCTTCTTTCGTTTTCCCGTCGTTCGCTAGCTTCCTAGACGTCACTAGACCGCAACATGCTAATCCCTTATTCGGATCTTCTATGGCAGCCATGGCTCAAACTCTTTCTCATGGAATTGCCAACGTTGGCCAGATCGTGACCATCAAGCTTAAAGACGTATCCGTTATTCTCACAAGGATGAGGAGGACAATGCTGCATTGCAGATCGTTCCAGTCATCCCTCAGGTGGACATTCAGGTAGCGGTTTCCACCATCCTAGATTCCTAGCCAACCTTGCTCAAAACCCCACGACATTCAGCACACTCCTACCGCCCAAGACCGAATAGAACAACACGCCCACGCCACCCCCCCACCCCCTCCGCCGGTAGTACCCAATAACTACATGCAGATCGGCAACAATGAGAATGTTGTCGCACATGATACGTCTTCCTCTGAGACGGCCCATCGGAAGCGAGAGGTCAACTTCCGACGGTGGACACACCTCAGCCTTCAACATGTTAGGGAGGCCGATCTCCGAGAGAATCGGTGGCCGAGGGGCCTTTAATAGACCAGGGTCCCCCAGGGAAAGTATGGGCTTCGTCTCCCGGACAGCGGAACACTAGCACATTAGATCAACCAAGCCCATGCAGCCCGGGTACAGACATATCAACCATCCGCCACTGTGATAAAGAAGGACCCAAGAGACGAGGTGATCTAACAAGTGGAGAGGTGCCTGGTGCAAATGGAGGCAGAACAACAGCACGCCGACGCTAGCAACCCACAAAACTACTCCGACTCTGGTTATTTCACAATGACGCGGAAGATTACAGAATTGGAAAGGCAAGTAGCTGCCGGCCGAGATGAACCCATCATTCCCTTCTGTTGGTCCCGTTTAATATGGTAACCAGTCTAGAGGGGGGGGGGGGGGTGAATAGACTGGTTGGTTTTTCAAATTTTCTCTAAGTCCGAAGTGACTTATCAGAGAAGGTCTGATTCTGATGACAGAGAAAGGCTGGTTCTGATATCAGAACTGGCCTTGGCAGCGGATTCTGATCTGTCCGGGTAACCTCAGAAAAATACTAAGGCAAATGCCTTTATGATAACTCTGAAAACAAGATCTGCTGAACACAGATTCCAAGTCTTAGAGTTAATCAGTTAATATCCTAAGTGCAGAGATATAAATTGCAGTAAAGTAAATGACACCGGATATTTTATAGTGGTTCAAGGAACAACTCGTTCCTCTAGTCCACTGTTCCACTAGCTTTGAAGTAGATCAGTTACAAAGCTAATTCCTAGCACTTAAGAAGCACTCCTCGTCTTCTTCAAGCCTAGATGCCACCCAGGATGCAATTCCACGTCCTGATGGCTGATCCTTTCACTCAGCTTCCCGGAAGTATCACCACTTCACTACTGCAGTTACTTGGACGTCCTTCTTTTCAGAAGATCCTTTTGAAAAACAGAGTTTTTCCTCCAACTTGCTTCGTTACAAAGGATGTTTGATGAAGTTCTTGAAGTGTTGAAGAACAGGATGAACTTTGCTTGTTTGTTGGGGATGAGAGATTTGGAGTTTGAATCTTCCCAACGTAAGCTTGTCTTGTTGAAGGTTGTAGAATTTTAAACTCAAGAGAGCTTGAATGATGATGAGCAAAAGTTGTAGCAAAG